TTTTTCATGACAAATGATCGTTATTATTTGACATGCACATTGGTATCCCAGTCTTAAACCGCGAAGAATCGCTTCGACACTCTTCGATTGCACTGCAGGGGATTAGTTGCTCATACCTAGCATCTACGCATCACCCGGATGAGGGGGAGGTCTTCGCTTTCTCTCTGTGGTACTGCAAGACATCCGTTTGTTTGGCTGCCACTTTCTGTCTCATAAGGCTTGCGTGTATGACCATACCATTCATGGGCTGTTTCCTTGAATCCATATGGAGAACATATCCCCCCTTCTAGGATGCGCAGATCCAGGCTACTATAATGGCGAGAGTCTCTGTTTGTAGCAAGGAGCCGTTGTCTGTTACTCGAACAGACGAAGCCTTGCCTCTTGTTGCAGCCGGCCCCTGCAGTGCTGAGGCTGACTCACCCATCCGTGTGACACTCCCCGAAGAGGTGATGGATCGGATGATTTCCTCAACTTCTCCCCTCAGTTGAGGGGTTGGGCACGGTGCCTTCTGTCTGTTCATATTCATGACCATTATCTCAATCATAGTCTAGGATGGGAGTCCATGCGCTTGGCTAATAATAATTTTTTGACCTGAAAGCGTATCAGTACCTGGCTGGGAGAAAGTCTGCAAAGAATGGTATTCAAGGAAACAACCATCCCAAACCCATGTTCCCATGTGCTTTGGGCAGGGTAAATGGGCATGTACTGTTTATGGTCCTGCCCTGAATGCTTCATAGTTTATAGCCCACAGCTTAAAGAACCAGCTGGAAATAATGGAGAAAAGCTAATTACCAGTTTGCAAAAAAGAGAAGATAAAAAAGCAATTAAAGTTAGACATACCTTGATACTTGGGCAGGGACGTGTGCATGTACTTGGGTAGCCAGTCATAGAACACCACTGCCTGGTATGTTGCGATCACCCACTTACGAGCTTCATTGAATACTCTCTCACCTACGGATAAATAAGAAAATTGAAAGAGACGGATTTTTCCATGGCATTCATACAGGCTCTATAACTATTTACAAAATTCAACCAACATAAAACTATGTGAATATTATTATATTCAGATGGTTTAGGAGAATCAGTGCAAAATTCTAGTTGGCCTTTCAACAAACAGACAAAAAAGTGAAGATTCTTTAAGCCATTTTGGTCCACATTTCCGGGGTCTGAATATTTGCTGTTCAACAGACAAATACCTCAAAAAACACTGAACTTAAAAAAAAACGCTGCATGACATGCAGCCGTGCAGTGTAATGAACATCTCTCAAATATATTTTGCATTATATATTTACACACACACACACATATATATCCATGAACTATATTAGTTTTAGGTGTGAGTGAATTGATGCACTTTGTGAGTATGGTCATCGACTTTTGCAGTACTCTAATGTGAGGTGCTGAATGATGCCAAAGTTACAAGATGTCAGCAAATTTCTTGCAAACGTTAGAGAGCGTGCGGGTATGTTGTGCTGATGGCTGCATTGCCTTTATTTTTCACAATATTACGTACTATAGGGAAATGAGAAACCCTGTGATGAAATGTCAGACGGCACAGACGTGATTTCTCCACTGGCTTTACTATTATTATTATTATTATCATTATTATTATTACTATTATTATTATTATTATTATTATTATTATTATTACTATTATTATTATTATTATTATTATTATTATTATTATTATTATTATTATTATTATTATTATTGTTATTATTATTATTATTATTATTATTATTATTGTTATTATTATTATTATTATTATTATTATTATTATTATTATTATTATTATTATTATTATTATTATTATTATTATCATTATCATTATTATTTTTTTTTGTTATTATTATTATTATCACCATCATCATTTTCACCATCATCATGATTATTCATAATCATATTTTTCTAAAATAAAAGTAATTGAAATTCGGCCAAGACGTTGAAAAGGCACCAGGTAAAATGTTTAAGTGACAACTAAACCCAATCCGATTTGCCTCCCCGATGGCCTGACCTTAATTAACCAAGAAAATAAATAGCTAGATTTATATTAGGTAAGTGTGATAGACCTGAAATTATTGTTACTCAACAAATATATTTCGCACAGTTACTTCCGAAAACAATAACCTTCATTTGATAATATATGTAGAAGAGCAGAACGTTAACAAGAGGATTAATTCTGCGTCCTAAGTGAATGTCAACGCAGTAAGATCATAATATATCTGAATGCCTGACTAGAATTTCGAGACCTGATATTACCATAAAGTAAATATACTGGAGGTCTTGACCTTCTGGCGATATTGCAACGAGAAAGTGTGGACACGCCTGCCGTGGAATCAGAATAGATCTCTAGAACATTTATAAACGAGTAGAGGCTTCACAGACCTGACCAGTCACGATGGAGACTCCTGAGGTACTTGGCGACGTGGTTGTGCCACCGGAACCACACGACGCCGAACGTCAGCAGGAAGGGGTTTTCATTGCCGCGAGGGTTTCCGAGCTCTGCGGAGGAAGGCAAAGCTTTGGCTGTAGACATGTGTAGTGATATATCAACACACACACACACAAACACATATATGATATATCAACACACGCACGTGTGTGTGTGGTTGAGAAAGTATCATCATTGTTGCAGTGCAAATGAACTCACTGAAGAAACGGTCCACTTTCGCCGTCTCCTGCTGCGCGACGTAGCTGGAGTGTTTGGTGGGCGGAGGCGGGTTGGCCAAGGGGAGGCGCTGCGCGTTCTCAGCAGGGAACCCTTCGCCCAACTGCCGGAGATCGACATCTATCGTTAAAATGCGAGGCTCGTGAGGGATTCGGCCGCGGCCAGAGGGCACTGGCTCAACCCTCCTCCCAGCGAGCCTCGATGTGCCGTCCAGAGAGGACCTCGCACGATTACACCATTATGATCATCATCACTATCATAGTTATCAATATCATTATTGTTGATAATAATAACAATGATAATGATAATTATAATGATAATAATAATAACAACAAAACTACAACAACAATAATAATAATAATAATAATAACAATAAAAAGATAATAACAATAATGATGATAATAATAATGATAATAATAATAATATTAATGATGCTGGTAATGATAATGATAATAATAATATTATTATTATTACTATTAGTAATGTTATTATTATCATTATCATTATTACCATTATTATTATTATAATCATTTATCTAATTACCACTATTGTTATTATCAATATCACTGCTATTATTATCATCATAATGTCTTCAATATCATTATTATCACTGTTGTTATCATCATGATTACCATTTTCCTAATCATTACAAAAATTACTATTATTATCATTGTTATTATCATTTTATTATTATCAATAGTACTATCATTAGTGCTATTACTATTAATGCTATTATCAGTATCAGTATTATCATCAGGATCATTATAATTATTCTTTTTCTTTATTTTTGTTTATTGACTTTAGTCTCTAATGGCTGTCTTTTGTCTGATTTTCTTCGCTTTTGTTTGCTTCCGCCGCTGTTTCTTCCTTTGTACTTTTGCTTTCATTACGGACTTTAATATACCGTTTTATTTAGCTTTGAGCTAGCATTTTTTTCTGATAGTTTTAAAACTGGTGGGATATGAATCTGGAATTTTCATTAAGAAATGAAGCTAATATACCAGAGGCCCACACACACACACACACACACACACACACACACACACATATATATATATATATATATATATATATATATATATATATATATATATATATATATATATGTATATATGTATATATATATATATATATATATATATATATATATATATATATATATATATATATATATACATATACATATGTGCGTGTGCGTGTATGTCTGGAGAAAGCCATCAAATGGTGGTGCTTCGAAATTGTCGATGGGGAAGAAAAGGGTCAATCTTTCGATGGTGTGCATTAAGGAGGGTGAGGAAGAGAGAAAGAGAGAGTAAGAGCGAGAGAGAAAGAGCGAGAGAGAGAGAGCGAGAGAGAAAGAGCGAGAGAGAGAGAGAGAGAGAGAGAGAGAGAGAGAGAGAGAGAGAGAGAGAGAGAGAGAGAGAGAGAGAGAGAGAAATAATAATGATGAAGATGTCGATGAAAAAAAAATATATAAATATATACATACATATATATATAATTATATATGTATATATATATGTGTGTGTGTGTGTGTGTGTGTGCGTGTGTGTGTGTGCGTGCGCGTTTGTGTGTGTGTGTAAATAGTAATAGTTTTACCTCGTCGTGTGAGGCTAGGAGGCCATCTGGAGCCAACGAGCCGTTCGCGAACGTCCTGAGCGCGTCCGCCCAGCCCTTGCTGGTTCCGTACACGAGGCCGCCATCCAAGTATGGCGTGATCTCATTCAGCTGTAGATAGAAAGGGGTGCAGTAGTCACCATGATAGAAGCTTGAACCTTTAAGGGGCTCCAGCCTATACTAGCCTACTGGATAATCCGGACCTACACCCTTATCGTTCCTCGGATCAGAGAAGATTCTCATAAATTAATTTCAGTGGCGCGCAGAGTGTGTTGTTTTATCCATAAAGTTAACATATAACAAAAAAAAAGTTGTATAGGCCCCTGATAGGTCTCTAGCCCTAAGTCTAGTCAGCCTTAGGGATACTGCGGTTTTCAGCACACTAGCACAGCGACAGTTGGTCTTTTCCAACTATACTATAACTATAAGTAAGAAAATGTCTGTCCATATCTTTCGAAGGTAAAAGCTGACTTGCGAAAAATCTCGATAAGGGAAAGTCCACCCACACAAAGCTACGCCGAGGGAATCGCCCGCCTGGAAGAAACAGGGCAGTAGGGCCAGACAGGGAATGTGACATCCTGTCACGGCTCTTTAGTATCGAAAAAAACTATCAAAAGAAATACATAACACCTTTAATGGTTTTACCTAGTCTTAATGGAAAACAGAATTATAAGAAAAGAAAAAAGAAAAATACTATACATACACATATAACTATACTGTACATAGATATATTTTCATATATATATATATATATATATATATATATATATATATATATATATATATATATATATACACACACACATATATATATATATAAATATATATATATATATATATATATATATATATATATATATATATATACGTTTATATATATATATATATATATATATATATACGTTTATATATATATATATATATATATATATATATATATATATACGTTTATATATATATATATATATATATATATATATATATATATATATATACACACACACACACATATCTATATATACACACATATATATATACACGTGTATGTGTGTGCGTGTGTATATATATATCTATATATATACATCTACATTTATATACATATATATATATATATATATATATATATATATATATATATATATATGTGTGTGTGTGTGTGTGTGTGTGTGTGTGGGTGTGTAAATACACACACACACAAGATCCTGTATATGTATATATGTAAAGGGTGTTAATTGAACCTCTAATAGAGGTAAAAGCTTGGGTGGCTTTACACTCTTTATTCTGTAAGAGTTAGCACACGGTTATGATAAACACAAACGAGACAGTCTTGGGTTAAGCACGGGGTCGCCTAAGGTCACGGACGGCCCCCAGCCCCAGCGGGCAGACTGGCTGCGAGGATCAAGCGTGACCTCGGGCGCGGCAGAGCACACTCTGTTGACCTGGTCAAAACGCAGGGCTTAAGTATCCGGGCATCCCACGCCACTGGGACGATGGTTCCTTTCTGGGCAGTGTGGCGTGGGTATGCCTACGTGGCTAACGAATTGCCACGTGGCCTATACTTCCTAATACACAGTATAATATATATATACATATATCATCATCATCATTTCATCATTTGGGAGCTAACGCCGGAGAGGCGCATAGCCGCATCCACCCTTTGTTTCCACCTACCAGGGTTCCTCATGGCTAGCCGCCAAGTGGGGGCCCGGCCCATTCCAATAGCATCCAGGTTTCACTACCATATAGCAAAACTGGCAGTATCAAGACTTTGAAAACATGTAGCTTGGTCCTTCTGCACAGGTACCGGCATCTCCAAATACTCTTGTCGAGAGATTTCATGACCCCTGCTGCCAGGCCAATCTGTCTACTGACTTCCTGGTCTGACAGCCCAAAGTCGTGAACTGCACTACCGAGGTATAAGAAGCTCTCTGTGACTTCGATGTTTTCCCCACAAGCACGTAACGACTGCACAGGGTCTCCTAGTAGGCCCCCAAAATCCTGGATCTTGGTCCAGGAGACCTTTAGCCCCAGGGGCTTTGCTTCATTGCTAAATGCATCAATAGCCGCTACTAGGGTTTCCAGAGATTCAGAAAGAATGGCAACATCATCAGCAAAGTCAAAGTCAGTAACCTTGATATTGCCCAGAGTTGCTCCACAGTGACTTTGGAAAGTAGTTCTACCCAGTATCCAACCCATGCAAGTGTTGAAAAGTGTTGGTGCAAGAACACAGCCTTGCCTCATGCCTGAACAGGAAAGAATCTCGACAGGCCCCCACCACACTTTACAGCACTTTCAGTGCCTATATACAGGTTTGCTATTAGTCAATAATCCTTGTTGGAATTCCTCTTAGCCTCAGGATCTCCCAGAGTGATTCGCGATGCATCGTATCAAACACCTTCTTGAGGTCGATGTAGGCTGCGAGCAGCCCACGTCCGAACTCACGACGGCGCTCTACAATGACTCGAAGAGCCAGGAAGTGGTCTATTCTGGACTTACCAGGAGTAAATTCAAATTGCTTCGGCCTTTGGTGCCTCAGCAGGTGGTCACTGATATGTCTCAGTAAGATGTGCGTGAGTACCTTGCCTGGTACACTGAGTAGGTCAGGAGGAATGGTACCGGTCTGCCAGATGGCAGACAGGACTGCATGCAAGCCCCTTGCCATAGGTTCTCCACCAACCTTTAACAATTCAGCTGGGATGCCACAAACACCTGCTGCTTTACCACTCTTCAGCTTGGAGATCGCACCCTTGACTTCAGTCAGGGAGGGTGGATCCTCGCTGATGGGTGGGTCTGGCAGAGGAATCTCAACATTACCCGCATCCAAGTTAACTGCTGGTGGATCAACCTGATACAACTGCTCAACTCAATGCACACGCACCCCATCAGGATCTGAGATTATCTGGCCACTTGCTGAGCGGACTACAGTCGTTTGTGAAGAGGGCTTGGAGTTCAGCTTTCTCAGGGCTTGGTAGGCAGGACGAAGGTCATTTACTAAGAAATGGCTTTCGACCTCCTCTGCAAGATTACTGATAAACTGTTCCTTATCCCTTCTCAACAGTGACCTAGTCCTGTGTACCAGAGAACGTTGCAAGTTGTGATCCCCTGACAATCGAGCTGTGCAACAGGCATCTGTGGCTTCCAGTGTCTCCTGCGAGATGGAATTCTGTCTTGCTCTTGGGCGCTCACCAATGGATTCCTGAGCTGCATCAAGTGTT